GGTGGGTAGATCACTTGAGGTCAGGAGTTCAAGACCAGCCTGGCCAAAATGGTGAAATCACATCTCTACTAAAAATACAAAAATTAGCTGGGCATGGTGGCGGATGCCTGTAATCCCAGCTACTCGGGAGGCTGAAGCATGAGAATTATTTGAATCCAGGAGGCAGAAAGGCTGCTATAAGCTGAGACCCTGCCACTGTACTCCAGCCTGGGTGACAGAGTGAGACTCAGCCCCAAAAAAACAAAAACAAAAAAATGGCATAGATTAAATTTGAAATGTTATTTTCAATTATAAAGCAAATAAATCAGTTACAAAAGAAATACAATGTAATTTGGATATTTAGGCTAAAAAGAACAAAAACCTAAAATATTCCATATTTTAAAGAGCCTTAAAATTATTTTTAATGTTTCTAGGAAAAAAAAGAAAATATGTATAGGGCCCTTGATTTTCTAAGCTATAATTTGATTTCAAGGAAAAGGCAAACATATTACAGAAAGGGTTGAATAAAACTTTTAAAATATGTCCCTATCCACCTTCTTTATATGCTTCAGATGCTTAAATAAAATCCAAGGCAAGTATCGGCCCGATCTAGTCTAAAAAGATTCTAGGGCCACACATGGTGGTCTATTCCTGTAATCTTAGCACTTTGGGAGGCTGAAGTAAGAGAATCATTTGAGGCAAAGAGTTCAATACCAACCTGGACAACATAGCAAGACCTCATCTCTACACACACAAAAGAAGAAGAAAAATGTTTTTAATTAGCTTGGCATGGTAACACATGCCTGTAGTCCTAGCTAGTCAGGGGGCTGAGGAGAAGGATTCCTTGAGCCCAAGAGTTCAAGATTACCGTGAGATATGATCATGCCATGCACTTCAGCCTGGGCAACAGAGCAAGGCTCTGTCTCTGAAAAAATTAATTCTTAAAAAGGGATGATGTAGTACTGAGATTCATAAACCTATTATTGGAATAACACACATGATTTAGTAACAGTAATATATTATATTGGAAATGGAATAATATGTAATGTTTCTCTATAATAAGTGTGCCTATCACACAATATAAAACCTATTTCCCACCTAACAATCTTGAAATGTTTGCATTTCTTCACAATACACTAAATTAAAAATGAAAAGTCCAGATTATAATGTTTTTATGTGTCAGCTGCTGACACATAAAAACATTATAGGCCACAAGCTCTAAACTGGATGGTATTGTGAAGGTATTTTGCAGATATAATTAAAGGCAGTACTCAGCTGATTTTATGTAAAGAAACTTATCCTAGATAATCCTGGTGCGTCTGACTGAACTGCAGGGAAGGCTTTAAAGAGGCTGAGGTTTTCCAGAAAGAAAGAAAGAGATGAGGCCGGGCCCAGTGGCTCATGCCTAATCCCAACACACTGGGAGGCTGCAATGGGTGAACTGCTTTGGCCCAGGAGTTCAAAACCAGCCTGGGCAAAATAATGAGACCTGGTTTCGGTAAACAAAAACCAAAAAAAGGAAGTAATAAAATAAAAAAAGAGCTGGCGGTTGGGGAGAGATTCCCACCTGTGAATGGCAGCTTCAGACCATGTCCATAGAGTTCCCTCCTGCTCCTGATCTTCTCTTCCTGCCTATAGATTTCAGACTTGCTTAGCCAATCCCCAGGGAAGTCAAAGCCCATTCCCCATAGTGAAGCCCCTAACATGTATATCTCCTACAGTTTCTGCTACTCTGGTTAAGTCATGACTAACAGACCAAGTATCTAAATTACTCAATCCCATTCATAACCTCATTTGGATACATCCCTTTCTTTTAATATTACATGAATTAATTTTTGATTTGAGATGTGGTAAAATCTGCTGAAGTCCGTGAAAACAGCCAGATGCAAAGGTCTTGTGAATGAAATGAAGGACAATAAAGTCCACTGACTATTATTACATAGTGTCAAAAAAGGTGGAAACAGAATACGAGTGAAGGGTTTAACTTAAAACCTCTTAACTATGAAATCCTCAATAATGATTTAACTTTTCTCTATTCCTATTTCCTCACTCTCCAAATGAGATTCCTATTTCTGCCTATAAAGGATACAGTAAGAAGGAACTAAGTATGAAAGCATAAAATGAGTATTGTTATTAATGCAAACTTTTATGTAAAGATGTGCCAGTTATCTTAAAGTTCAAAGTTATGTAGCTGTTTTTAATTCAAGAAAGTTCCAATCTGAACAGGTGGTTTAAATGAAAAATATAACCAAAGGGCTGGTCTTGGTGATTTACTCCCACAAATAAGGTGGAAGTGATGGTGTGTGACTTCTAAGACCACATCATAAAAGGCATTACACCTTCCTCTTTGCTTTCTTGTGAATCAAATCGCTCTAGGAGAAACCAGCTGCTACGCTGAGAGAATGCTTAAGAGGCCTGATGGAGAGTTCCATGTAGCAAGAAACTGAGGCCTCTTACCAACAGCCATAAAGGACTGAGGCCTCCTGCAAAGAGCCATGTGAATAAGCCATCTTAGAAAGATAAGCCTCAGCCTTATTAAAGCCTTTAGGTGAGGGGTCCGTTAATATTCCCCTTGAAGTTGGCGAGGTCTATGTAACTGTATCTAGGAATAAAGTACACTGGAAATGAAGCTGCCCAAATACCAAGGCTAGATTAGAAAATGCCTTGAAGCAGCTGGGCATCATAGCTCATGCCTGTAATCCCAGCACTTTGGGAGGCCGAGGTGGATGGATCACCTGAAGTCAGGAGTTCGAGACCAGTCTGACCAACATGGCAAAACCCTGTCTCTCCTAAAAACACAAAATTAGCTGGGCCTAAGTGGTACATGCCTGTAATCTCAACTACTTGGGAGGCTGAGGCAGGAGAATCACTTGAACACAGGAGGCAGAGGTTGTAGTGAGCCAAGATGGTACCATCGCATTCCAGCCTGGGCAACAAAAGTGAAACTCCATCTCAAAAATAAAAATAAAAAAAAGAAAATTTTGCTGTTTTCTCCTGGAACACTGACTCCAGGAGCCTTCAGCCAACAAGATGGAAGTCTGGGTACGCTGAGACCATCAAATGGAAAAACTACGAGGAGAAATCACAGAAAGAAGAGATGCCTGTAACGTTCTGTATCAGTCCCCAGCTATTTAATTCTTCCCAGCCCAAGTGCCCAGACATGTAAGTAACGCAGCCTTTGAAATGAGTCCATCCCCAGTCACAATTTGATGCAATTTCATAAAAGACCATGACTGGCTTAGCCGAACCCAATCTCCAGAAGAGATTGAGAAAATCTCTTTTCTCTTTTTCTGGAGAGAGAAAAATAAATGGTTGTTGTTTAAGCCACCAGCTTTTGGGTGGTTCACAGAGCCGTAACAGATGACTAAAACACTCTATAAGGTGAAGGCCACCTGCTTTCTGATACCTTTCTTAATTCCCCAGGCAAAAATTAGCATAGCTTTTCTTCGAGTCTCCTAATATTTGTTTACGAAAGCCACGCACTATGATCATATCCTATGTCAGCAGCATAATTACTTGTTTTCCTAGTTCTCAAAGAGTCTAAATTCTCAGAGGGCAGGAGCTATGTATAACAGAATTTTGTATCCACAGTACCTAGCAGAGAAATATTACTTTCTCTCTTCCCATTAAAAATTAATATAGATTGCCAAGACCACAGGTATTCCTGTTACTATGTCAACAAGTCACAAAGACAAAAAAGGAAGCAAATCCTAGTAGGGACATAAAAATGCATATGGCACCTCTGAGCTGCTTTGTTAGCTTCTGCGGCCTGGATTCTTGTGGAATTCTTCCCTGATGATGAGAGTGCTTCAGAGTTTGCAGAGTACTTTCACATGCATTAACTCATTTGGGTCTCTCATACCTTCACGGGTAAAGAAAGGGGGTATCCTTCCTATTTTCCAGAGGCAGAAAATGGAACTAAAGTAACTTAGCAAATGTGTGGCACAGTTAGAACCTGAATCAGTGTTCTGACTGCACAACCACTGTTCTCCCCATTCATCCCAGATGTCTTATAATGGATGGCTGGCCCCAGTCACACTACCATCACATTTCCAGTCTACTGCCAGTCCGAAGGTAAAGATGCTGATTAAGATAAAGACAACTTCACACAGACTAGAAAAGGATAAATGACACACAAGATTTACTGAAACTAGAGACCTTACGAGTCCTACATATTAGAATTTTAAAACATTTAGTCCATTAAATATGTTACATATACACATGGCTTAGATGAATGTAATTCAAACCACTGCTTATACAACCAAATGACCAACAACTGTTCTTGCAGAAATCAGCATAAGACAAAATTATATATTAAAAAAAAAAGTATTAAAAAGACTGGTGAGCAGAACAATGTAGTTAAGGAAATATGAAATATAGAGTCAAAAACACTTTCCTTAAAAGCCAAGGCCAAAGCCTGCTACTTAACCCTACTGGGCAAGAAATGTAACTTCTCTCACCCCTAACTTCCCTTGCAAAATGAGAATACCAAAATCAACATCATTTATGAGATGATTAAATGAGATAAAATATATGAAAGCCCCACCAAATAGTAAATGCATAAAGTTTTCTGACAAATTGTTCAGGATCAAACATATAAAACCAAATTTAGACACTGAAGGTGAACTGGTAAGGCTGGCTTGTTTTATATGTAGGTTTTCTGGTTACAAATGGCAACACTGACATCTGCTCCTGACCTCACAACCACTTTGAGGTACCCTGAATAAGCCTGTCTTCATGTAAAGGACAGATGGTCCCATAAGCTCAATATTGGCACATTTTTCTAACATGCCAATTTTTCTAGAAAATACTAATCCTTGCCCAAAGATGCTCTTCCTAGCTAGCTGACACGCTGAGGCAGGAGGATTTCACTGCACTTCGGCCTGAGCAACAGAGTGAGACCCCATCTAATAAAAAAGATTTTCTTCTGACACCTTAAATATATATCCTGCTATTCTCCTATAATGACGTCAAGAATAACACAGAAAGCTTAATTCTGCAGTTTAGCACTCAAGACTTACCTGCAACCCTCAGCAGCTCAGCAAGACCCAGAAGCTTGGTGGATTGTTTATAGCAGGTGGGGAACTGGGAAATACACTCCTTGATAAGACTGATCCGATCAGGGCACAATCGCACTACAAAAGAAAGACATGTTAAAAAGACAGACATCACAAAAGGGTGTTAGTGTCCTTCCTAATGTAAGGCAACCAAAGAAAATGAAAACTGTGTAAGGCTTCAGATGAACGAGACTTAAGTAAAAGTAACAGTCGCATTTTACAAACCGCAAAATTATTATTGCTTCTGAGTAAATAATGTACAACATTGATCTTTTCTTTATAACCAAACTTCTGAAGCACAGGAAATGAAGTGTTAATCTGAAACTAGAAAAAACTGTGTCACTGTTTTACGTACCATTTCAGGACTTAGGGAAAAATTTAAACAAGACAGTATTTGCCTCTAAAAACTTCATATACTTAGTATTACGCCAGCCCCCTCACACCTCACTCCCTAAGCCCCATTCCTTGCCCCAAATATCTATTTGCTATCTCCACTCATCACCCCAGTTTGGAGGGCAGGAGTCTTCAAAGTGCTTACTGTTCCAACTTATTAAACTTCCTTCAAAAATAGGCCCAATTTTCTAACATAAACTGGATATTAGAAAAATAAAACATGTCTGATCAAACCAATTCAAACTATGAAGAAATGAAAATCATATTTAAAAAAAAAAAATTCGACAAAGGGTATCATGTATATTTTAGGAACAAACAGTACTTATTTACAGTAGAGATGGCAGCCTTTAAGAAACATGGCACTGCCAGGGACGCTGGTCCCCAATAATTGCAGCAACTACGATAATAACAGCTGATGTGAAAGGAATAGGAAATATGTCTCAGGCACTATTGGGGGTGCTTTATGTATACTAACCCTACACAGCAAACTCTTATTAATAGAAGGCAGGTATTATTATCCTCAAGAGAAGAAACTGACATGTAGAAAGGTTAAATACTTTGGCAAAGGTCACTGAAAAAGTGATGGGACCAGAATTCAACCTGGCTCACTATATGTTTTCACACCTTCAATCCTTTATCCTTTCCTAAATCTGTGACTGTTCTCCATACATCCTGTGTTCTCTCAAAACTTCCACATGGGTGAGAGGGGCCAGGAATTGGGGAGATAAAGAGAAGAGGTGGTGTTTTTTCTCTGGAAAGGGCTTTTTTTGGGGGAAGAATGTATTACAATTTAATGTTATGAAAGTTTGCAATGTTATGAAAGGTTTTTAATCTTATGAAAGGGTGCAAGGAAAGTACAAAGAAATCCTCTGTACTCTTTGCTGAGATTAACCAATTATCAACAAACTATTAATGATTTGTGCCTTCACATATGTCCATGTGCAATCATGCATGCACACTCTCCCTGCTTCCTTCCTCTGTATATTTACACACAAATATGTATATGCACAAATACTTATACATGTACAAAGATATGCACATAAATATATATACACAATTATTTATACATGTGCGTATATACACAAATAGTTACACATATATACACATAAATATACATACACATTTATTTTTTCTGAACCATTTGAGAATAAGTTGCAAATAACATTTGTCCTTATTGCTAAATACTTCAGTGTGTTTCCTAAAGTACAGACTCTCTTAAAATGAGTATTTATATATTAACAACAATAATTCTGCTGTGAGTAGCCTTTACTATAAAATATAAAGGAAATGTACTCTTCAGTTCCTTCCTTCAAAATCAACATTGCTAATACCTACAATCTGAGTATAGCTTCTGCAAACTGTATCACTCTTCCCAATTGTCCACTGCAACTATTCATATCCCAAATTCCTGCTTCAGTGACATGAGACTTGGCCCTATGACATCTATAGGCAATTAATGTGAGTGAAAATGATACATGCACTTCTGAGTGAAAGCTGCCAAGAGTCATCATGGAATTCCACTCCCGAGCTTTCCCCTCTACTGTGAGAATGCCGGGTCTCATGGGCGGTGCTGCGACTCACCAAAGTGGACATGAGTGTGAGCAGGAAATAAGCCTGTTATCACACAGTGTGAAGATTCTGAGTTTTTCACTACAGCACAATCATAAAAACTCACTAATATAGTAGCTTCAAACTTTTCCATGCCTTATCACAATAAAAAAAAAATTGTGGGTTTTTTCCTCAATATCCACTACTATTTTACGGGGCTTTTTCCAGATTCAGTAACATATGATAATTACGAGATAGGTACTTTTTACATGTTTGTAATTTGATTTTCAAAACAAAACTTGTTGCAGATATTATCAGCATTCCATATATGAAAAATGCCGGAGTTTTCATAGCTGCTTTTATGGCTTTGCTGATGAATTCTTGTATTCTTCTAAGAGAAACTCTAGCATCAATAATTCTACTAAGCGGTTTTCCTTACCACTCTTTTTCTAGCGCAATAAAATCAAGGTGGAGAACTGAAACTACACATAGTAATGGATCATCATTTTCTCTAAACTTTCATGTAATGGAACACTCAAGTTTGATTATTTGTCTCCTCTTGCTCTAAGCAATGCATACTGCTAATATTTGAAGTACATTAAATAAATTTGGAGAGCAGGATTCTAATAGACTGCAATTACCATGTTCAAATGACTTTTTACTTTATTTACTTATGTATTTTCTGATCCTCTGGACAATCACTATACCAGTTCCCTTTTTCTGCTGATTTAGGGCCTGCTTAATTATATTTCAAAATGTGAATTCTCAGTTAAGTAAATACAAGCCCTAGATATTATTATCCTTCCAAGAAGGAAATGTTCAACTTCTAAAATTCCTTTCCAAATTGAATGAATGAACATGAAAAAGATATGCATGTATGTACCTTTTAATAATTAAAGATAACCTAATTTTCCAGTAGAAATCATAAATATATCTTGAAAGATTTTTTAAAAACCTATAAAACCCATGTATACATACACACACATGCACACACACTTGTACACGTGTGCACATGTCTCAGATGTAAAAAGTATTTTCTAACCACCTACCTATATATCAAAACAGATTCATCACAATCTTAGAAGGCATGGGTAGTAAATGCCTCTCAAACGATAGATGTGAAATACCAATTTCAGACGCTCAGTAATGGCAACAAAGATCTACAACATATGAAGTTACTAGCGATGTTGGGGAAGTATTATACAAATCTGAATTGTGTAGGCCAGGATGTAATAGGCAGTAGTCAAACACTTAGCTGGCCAGTGAAAGGGTAAGTTTCCTTCTCAAAGAATCTTTTACTCTCACATCTCTTCCTTAGTAGAGTATTGTCTACTGGTACAAATGCAAGTTCTTGAGCCAGGCTACCTAGGTTTGAATTCTGGCTCCACCTCTAACTAGCTGGACGACCCTAAGATAGTTACTTAAACCCTCTGTTCCTTGATTTCATCATCTGAACATTGGAAACAATACCACCTTGGAGGGCATGGTTTTGTTTCTGTTTTTGTTTTCGCTTTTTCTTTTTGAGATAGGGTCTTGCTCTGTTGCCCAGGCTTGAGTGCAGTGGCACAATCTCAACTCACTACAGCCTCAATCTTCTAGGCTCAAGCGATCCTGCTGCCTCAGCACCCCAAGTAGCTGGGACTACAGGCATGCACCACCAAGCCTGGCTAATTTTTTAATTTTTTAAAAATAGAGACAGGGTTTCATCATGTTGCCCAGGCTAGTCTCAAACTCCTGAGCTCAAGCAATCCACCCACTTCAGCCTCCCATAGTCCTGGGATTAGAGGCATGAGCCACCATGCTGCCCAAAGCCACAGGAGCCCATCTTTTGCATCAGTGTGCCCTGATGTGAGACATAGAGTCAAGGGAGATTATTTTGGAGCTCTAAGATTTAATGACTGTCCCGCTGGGTTTCAGGCTTTCACAGGCCTGTGGCCCCATTGTTTTGGCCAATTTCTCCCATTTGGAATGGGTACATTTATCCCAATACTTGTACCCCCATTATATCTTGGAAGTAACCAACTCTCTTTTGATTTTATAGGCTCCTAGGTGGAAGGGACTTTCCCTGTCACCAATGAGATTTTGGACTTGAACTTTTGAGGTAATGCTGACATGAGTTAAGACTTTGGGGGACTGCTGGGGAGGCATGACTGGTTTTGAAATGTGAGGACATGAGATTTGGGAGGAGCCAGGGGTGAAATGATATGGTTAGGCTCTGTGTCCCCACCCAAATCTCATCTTGAATTGTAATCCCCAGGTGCTGAGGGAAAGACCTGGTGGGAGGTGTCTGGATCATGGGGGCGGTTTCCCCCATGCTGTTCTCATGATAGTGAGTGATTTCTACTAGGACTGATGGTTTAAGAATGTGGCACTTCCTCATTCTCGTATAAACCCTTCTCTTTTCCGCCGACATGTGAAGAAGATCCTTGCTTCCCATTTGCCTTCTGCCATGACTGTAAGTTTCCTGAGGCTTCCCCAGCCGTGTAGAACTATGAGTCAATTAAACCTCTTACCTTCAGAAATTACCCAGTCTTGGGTATTTCTTTATAGCAGCGTGAAAACAGACTAATACAATGCCCAACCTCAAAGGGCACTTTGAGAATTAGTGAACACATATAAAGTATATTTGGAACATAAAAATCCCTAAAAAAAATTAGCTACCTTATTACCTACTGACATACTCACAGAAATACTTAGGGAGAACGGAATCTCCTAATACAAGGTTTCTCCAGATATAACTTACGGTACTGTCTAAGGAATATTTTATTACTATCCCCATCTGAGAAATGTGAAGCTCAATGATACTGTTACCACAGGTTAAACAGCTCAAAGTGGCTGCACCAGAATTTAAACTCACACATGACACTCTGGGGTAACTGTGTCTTATTAGCAGTGTGTCAGCCCTGTAAAGTTATAGAATGCCTGTCCCCTTCATTATTTCAGTTCCTGGAGTAGGGTAAGTGCCTAAATTTATGTTTAGTAAATGAAAGCAAAGGGGGGAGGGCTGGAAGGACGGGAAGGAACAGATGCTGAGGAGGGAGCGGAAGAAAGGAAAAGGGAATGAAGAGAAAGGAGGAAGGGAGAATGAGAAGGCAGGTGAGATCACCCTAATTCTATGATTATTTTAAAAATACCTTTAAGTATCAAAAATAATCATTGATATTGTACAGCCCTTACTATATCTCAGGCACTATAAATGTGCAGACAGTCCTTATAAGCAATTCTGTAAGATTCTTATTGGCATCCCCATTTGGTAAATAAGAAAACTTAAAGGTTAAAACTTGCCCACAGTTACCCAGTAATAAGTGGCAGAAGTAGCTACGGGCTGAGTGTTAACTACAATGCTATAAGTCAGAAAAGCTGACTTACCCTATTATAGAAAGAACAGGTGGACTAAATGAAATATTCAAAGACTGTTCATTTAAATACTAAGAAAAGTTTATATAAACATAAACACCCAAAAGAAAGAGAAAAGCATACCTATACACACACATACACACACACAAATATTTCATAGAAGACACACATAGGGAGTCATTTTTACATGTTATTTCTGTTCCTGTTTTCAATTAACTCATTGATTATAATTTATTTAGAACCTCTAGCCTTTACTTGATAAGAAACAGCAACTCCTGGAGTGTAGGCAAAGAAGGCTTCAAAACAAAGCAAAATGACAAAAGGAACTACGTATACTGACTACAATAAAAATACCTAAGCCATAAATTTCTAAATATCAAGTTGTTTTCCTTGTCTAATATTACTGATGAATACAAAAGAAGCTAAAACCTAAATGGCACCTGTGAGATAAACACAACAAAAAGTATACAAAGGCAGCATTCCATCTTCACTTCCAGAAGGTTTTTCTGACAGTCATTCTAATCGGAAACCCCAAATCAATGTATCAAGCTGGAAAGCTGTCAAGACATGAAAGCAAATGTCTTTCTTAAAATACTCCTCAGTCAGAAAATTCTCAGAAGCTACAGCAGGGCACTGCTTTTGGTTGCAGGTATTCAAACCCAGCAGTTGATATACACATATTACCAGCAAACATGCTGCTAATTGATCAGCACAGAAAATAAGGGCTCAATGTAATATTTCCAAATCCAGTAGCACTTGGGTGGACTGTAAGAAAATTATTTTGTATTATACCAATCTGTTTGAATTAAATAAGGAGGTAAAAGACAGATACACACAAAGATATACAGACACCCACACAGAGTCAAATCTGTAATAGCCTGCCCTAACAAGAGACACAAACAGAGCAAAAGCTTCATTGTACTTTGGACTCTTCCTTGACTAAAATTGGAATTAAATATTTGAGGAGGAAGTAGTTAATGACGTCTGACATTTAAGGATTAAAAAAAAGCAAACCAAATTAATCTTCACAATTTTAAGAAGTTCTGAGCTCGAAAATTACATGAATTATAAACACGAATAAAATTTACTAGTTATTTAGCAATTGCATTAAATAAAATTACTTAAGATACCATAAGATAGTTATAACTATGTACAAATTGTTTCCAAACAATGATATTCAAAGTAAGAATACTATGACTTTTGAGTCTAATAATTTTTTTTGAGAGAGGGTCTAGTTCTGTTGCCCAGGCTGGAATGCAGTGGCATGATCAAGGCTTACCTCAGCCTCAACTTCCTGGGCTCAAGCAGTCCTCCCACCTTAGCCTCCTGAGCAGCTGGGACTACATATGCATGCCATTACACTCAGCTAATTTCTTTAATTTTTGTAGAAACAGGGTCTTACTATGTTGCCCAGGCTGATTTCAAGCTTTTGGACTTAAGTGATCCTACTACATCAGTGTCCCAAAGAGCTAGGATTACAGACATGAGCCACTGCACCCAGCCTAATCAATTTGTCTTAGATGCAAAACTTTAACTTTTAGTAAAGCCACATTGGAAACCCACTGAAAACATGAGAATGTCTCTACTGCTCATATCCCCTAAAATCCAACCAACTCTAAAGACTACACAGGACAAAGACACCACGGAACTTGTAAAAGAGCTAACCCTCCAGCACTCTCAGTCTCAAATATTTCCAGAGTTAAGAACAGAGATAACAGGTTACAAGGAAGCCAGCCAAGCACAGTGCTAACACAACAAGCCAATCTGTTCATTTAGGGCACTGAGGCCCTGGGTTTAAAGCAACAGCAAATCTACCTCCCTCATCAGGGAAGGTCAGGTAAAGTCCAGTATGCCACAAGATGCAAACTGTCCTCACGGCATAAATAGATGAGACAAGTTACACCATAACAGGATGCTTGTTTGGGATGATACCTAGGTGATTTTTATATTCAAATAAAAGAAGTTGAGTAATATTAAGATATCTCTAGTAAGTAAATTCTAAACAAAAATTTCTTATTCCCTCTTTTAAAAAAACAGATGGACTTAAATACTGAATCAAGCAAAAAAAAAAAATTTTATTTTCAGATAGTCATAAATCTAGACAACTGAAACAAAATATAGAAATAAATTGTTTACCAAAACTGATATAAATCTGATACATTCTCACCCATAATCCCCAATATCTATTTTTGTTTTTACCCAATAGCCTCACTGCTCTGTTACTAATGTTATTTCTTTAAATGTTATAAATGTAAACTTTAAAAAATAAATTTATGGTAAAATGTTGGCTTTATTTTTTTTCTTTTGGGTTTCCACTTGAGATTTCATTTAAAATATGGGTCAAGGACAGGATCTACTGCTATGGATTAAATGACCAAAGCTACTCTTTAGTTATAAAAAACTTAAAAAGAATACTAGTAAATTACTGCAATACAGGTTAGTAACAATGCAACAATAAGTAGAAAACTCACCTTGCAAAGGCAGAATCTTTACTCCAAATTCTTCAAGACATCCAACAGCTTGGATAAGATCTAGCTCCTCTTGAATGGCAGGGGGTCTATCTGTTATCAGTTGTAAGCAACACCTAGAAGAAATTAGATAAATTTTAAAAAGAAGCAACATATGTTCACCATTCTATATTTAACAACATGAGATCCAACACATATTTATCAAAAATCTACTACATTCCAGGAATTCATTCCGTTAGATGCCTTCTATTATCTTAAACCTCACAGCAAGCCATGAGGTAGGCAAATATCATCATCTATCTGCCTTTTAAGGGAGCTAAAACTGAAGCTCACAGAAGTGAAGTAATTACCTACAGTTACATTCACAGTACCTAATGCCATCATGGCAGCAAGCATGATAACTTTGTGCTTAGTGCCGTTTTTACTGATATATGCAAACATAATGATTATAAGGAATTTTTTTAAGGATAAAATTCAGATAATTTCCAGTTTCCCTTTTGGGAAAAACAGAAATGTCTTGATTTGGTAACAATTTGGTCTCTCAAAAGGAATAAGAGATGACTTAGGAAACTGCATAGAGAACATTTTTCTGATCAAAAACAAGAAATCTCTTGATAATATACAGTTCTGAGATGAACTATAGGAGAAAGTGATTTGCTAAGCTAAGAATGTGGGATTTCCATGGAGTATTTTAAGTAAATTTTTGTTTAAATTCAAAGACACTTCACTTAATACATGTTTCATGTAATGAATAAACTCATTCTCTAAAGGTGTTTAGAGGAACACTGGAATATAAGACTAGAAAGACAGATCAGGCCATAAGGGGCTCATGAATGCTAGAATCACAGATCATGAGATGCAGGCATCCAAGCCCCAGTATGACATCCATATGACTAAGTGATACACACAGGCCTAGCCTGCTCTTATAAAACTAGAGGATTAAATCAACTGAGCACTCACATCCACTGTTGATTCAAGTGTGAAAGGTCTATAACCTCTTTGTGGTTTCAAAATTGTAAATGCCCTTTTTACATTTTTTACTCTAGACCCAGGAATTACAAATAAATTCCAAAAATGTGTATTACAGATAGGCTCATACATGCTCAAAGACATTGAATTATGGATGCTGACTACCAGATTGTTTTTAAAAATGAAAGAAAGCATACCAAATCAGGAAAAAATTAAATAAATTATATAAAAGTAAAACAACGAAATGTTCTACAACCATCAAAAAGGAATAAAACTGACCTGTCCATATGCAAATGAAAAAACCTTCAATACAGAATATAAATGAAAAACAAAATAAGGAACAGTAAGGTATACATAATAGTAAGAGCTTATTCGTGATTTAAGAAAGAAGAGGTAACATTTAATAAAATGTTTTGGAAGGATATATAAGCAACCAACATTTAAAAATTACTTAAGGATAAAGTTAGGGGAACTAGAATGTGGAGGGAGACTTATGGTCTACACTTATATTCTTTTTGTATTGTTTGGATATCTATTGCTTCCTCAACAATTTATTTTTAAAGAGTTTGAAAATAACTCTTTAATCAGTAAGAATGTATGGGCTATTTTCTGTATTCAATATAAACGTGAACATTAAAATACAGGCTCACAGGTCACAATCGGTTCGGTACCACATTATACACATAGGGCATGTTTGTGAAACTAAGGTGTGTCCTTGTGGGAGAGAAAGAGATGCAATGAAGGAGAAATACAGAAGAAGCAGCTTTTTAAACGATCTCTGGGAAACACCTGCCAAAAAGATTGAGATCAAATGCAAGTCCCAGTTTCAAAGGCTATTCTATTTGCTATTTTCATCATTTGAAATAAAATAGAATCACTTAGGAGAAAAGAAAGAGCTAACTGCTTTAAACAACGTTGTCAAGTTCAATAACATGTTTTGTGAAAACATAATTCCTTCTGAGATAAGATATTACTGGTGGGGGGGAAATGGGGGATCTAAGGGGAGGAGTTACCTTTAAGCTTTGCTAGGTCTGAAATTAGTCTTCTAGGGGAAAAATTAATCTCTCCAATATATCCTTTTTGTATTGTTTAGATATTTATTGCTTCCTCAATTAATAAATAACACTTTATTCAGTAAGAATGTATGGGTTATTTTCTACATTCAATATAACTGTAAACACTGAAATACACTCAGGCTCACAGGCTGCAATCAGTGGGGAGCCACGTTACACACATGCGGCATGTTTGTAAAACGAAGGTGTTTCAACTGCTACCACAATCAAAGTATCAAAACGAATTCCACATAAAGGTAAAACTGAAATATAAAAATTAAACCTATCAAAGCACTAAAAATTATGAAAAATTATCTTAACAGTCTTGGGAATTAAAAGTCTTTCAAAAAATGACAGCAAAGACAGAAACTGTAAAAGAATCACAATTAAAAAATTCTGAAGAGCAACTGGAAAGATAAATCTTATATAATAAAACTTGGCAATGTAGTAAAATATTTGAGATAGGCATAGCAGAAATGTACCATAGGCCCCAAAATGAGCCCCTAAGAATCAAAAGTAAAAAGATGAACATCCCAAAAGAAAAATAAGGCTAGAAGCAAGTTTCAAAAGCAAAAGTGCAAATGAAGCTGTTCAACAGACAAACACTGGAAAGACTGAAAATTAATTTAGAGAAGAGGCCCTTTAGTGCCTTATTAATGGAAAATAAACTGGTGTCATTTGATAACATGTATCAAAATTTTGTAGGTGCTTACCCTTCGATTCAGCAATTCCACTTTGCATTATCTATCTAGAACAGGCACAGGCCTAATCACTTTGCCTACTCAGTTAATATTACAATAGCCCTATGACATAATCCGACTATTATCCGCATTTTACAGGTGAAGAATCTGAGGCCCTGATGACTGGCCCAGGGTCACACGGCTGTTAGCTGGACAAACGTGGATCTGTACACAGACATCTGCCACTACAAACTGTGTTCTTAACCTCTGACACTCTGCTGCTTCTCAGACAATGAAAAGGCATATTAAATGCCGTCAGAAAAGAACTGAGTAAATCTAGCACAACCACTCGACACAATGCTGTAAAGCATATGAAAATGCTGCATATCTGTACACACTAGCTTACTAAACAACTGAAAAAAGCATGTAACAAAAAGAAATATATAGCATTATCTCATTTTTGCAAAACTGTATACAGGTATATGTGTAAAATAGTGGACACATGATTAGGCTCAAAAATCTCATTATTTTATTTAAATGGTGAGTGGATAATTCCCATCAAATAAAATGGAGAATATCTTATAGATTGTTAACTAGAAAATCTGAGAAAACAGGATAAACTTAACAAAAACTCAGAGGTTACATGACAAACTCAGGTGCTCAGAAAAATTGTCAATTGCCTTGAGGAGGAAAAATAAATGAAAAAGTATGTCTCTAGAAATGAATGAGGATCAGCACAGCTCTGAGTAAGAAAAGTAGAGCAGGGTCTAGAAAAGAGAAACAAAACAGACTCAGTTGTCCAGGGTACAAATGGAAGGAGAAATACATGTTAGAGAAACTAGACACTGCAAAAGAGAGTTGAAAAATGGCTAGTGGTGTGAACAGCAGCGTATCAGTCAGAAGGCAGGGGAGAGAGGACATAATACAATTGAGGATGTGCCTCCACTTACAATGGGGTTATGTCTGAATAAATCCATGGCAAGCTAAAAATATCGCAAATTGAAAATGCATTTAATATACCTAACAAACATCACAGCTCAGTTTAGCCTACCTTAAAGTGCTCAGAACACTTTCATTAGCCCACAGTTTGGCTAGGCTTTTAATCAGTTAACACGAAGGCTATTTTATATGAAAGTTGAATTTCTCATGTAATTTACTGAATACTGAACTGAAAGTGAAAAACTCAATGGTTGTATGGGTACTCAAAGTACTGTTTCTACTGAATGCACATCACTTTACACTATCATAAAGTTGAAATCTTGGAATTTGCACCATCTTAAGTTGGGGACTGTCTATAAACCACTTTTCTGAAATGTTGAACAAGTAAGATTATCTTTTTTAAGCTTTTAAGATTAATTAATACAGAGGTGATACATGTTTTGTTCTTTGATCAATGTTTATTAGGCACTTTTAATTTTATAAAAAACTAACTTTATAAAAAGCAACCTTAAATCCTAAATAAATTCTTCTAAAAGAAAATCACTGCAATTGTGTATACTTACTTATAAGAACTCAGGTCATGAACACACGTTTCCAGTGTTAAACAAGAGGGGTGGGCTAAAATAGGAGTACAATGGTGATGAGAGGAACTGAATTTATAGTCTTAATTTCAGCCAGGAAGCAACTTCTGAGGTTTATCATTTAATCGGGTCCCTTCTCTCTCTCTTTTTTTTTTTTTTTAAGACTTATCCCCTGGCATTTAGGTCCCTTGTCTCTAAACAAAGTGAAAGCTACGTGAACAAGACAGACACAACTTATGCATACCAAAAATTTTCACAACTTGAATTTATAGGTTATCATATGAATCTCTTCCAACAGAAGAGAAATACAGCCTTACAGATAATCAGCAAAAATGAACACAGGAAAGCACGCTGGAGAAAAAGGTTTAAGAAGCTGATGGACATTCATTACGTACATAGTTTTCTTGTTATACTCAAGCAAAAAATTACTGTGCCTCATAAAGGGCAGTCAATCTGTACCTGTGATAATATATTTTGTAAAGGAAAGAATAGCAATGCAGTTTGTATATTCTGGCATTCCCCTTCTATCTATGGAAGAATATGGAGTTATTCTACCTGGCTAGATCCATGCAGCTATCTGTAAGGTTGGTGGAAGAATTGAAGTACTCTCTGCTGGCAGCCAGAACCAGGTCAATACTCTTTTCATAACTGACCCTGTAGTGGGGTTTCCCTTTATGGGCTATTCCAGCTGGCAGATTTGCTGAACAAGCACTGCAGTGCATCATCTGCCCAGCCAGGTGGATGTTTTCAAGGCGACTAGAGCACAGAAGGCTTTCTGTAAATATCTGAAAAAAAGAAGAAACTGGAATTAGTAATAAAGAGGGAAGGTTCAGTTCTCAATGAAATGAAGGCTCTGAAATCCAAATGAAAGAAATTAAAAACACATCCATCCTAGAGGTGGTGGCTGCACAACACTGAAAATGTACTAAATGACAATGAATTGTATACTTTAAAATGGTTAATTTTACATTAGGTCAATTTCCCCTCAATTAAAAAAAGTCAATCCTTTAGAAAGAAGAAAGAATAATTTCATTGACCAAACCAAAATTAAGCATAATATTTTTAATGTATCACAATAAATACTTGGGTCAAGCATCTGAAGTTGATATTCATTAAAATCAGGATTTATTAGACATACTGTCCCATTCTAAACAGGGCCCACTTTGCTTAAAACTATTTTTAACCATTTCTACTTTTTTTTTCTAATTTTAATTTTCATTTTTGATATGGTTTCTTGCTAGGTTGCCCAGGCTGGTCTCAAACTCTTGGTTTCAAGCAATCCTCTCACCTTGGCTTCCCGAAGTGCTGGGATTAAAAGCATGAGCCACTGCACCCAGCCCCATTTTAATTTCTTACAAGAAAAATATTTGACTATGATACATATAATTCATACCTCCTTAAAGCATCTGAATTCAGTCTTATGAATTAAATAGCTATGCCATAAATGCTATACTTATAACCAGTTAACAAAATTACAATATATTATAATGTTGAGTTTAATAACTCGCATATTAAAAATTATTTAAATAAAACAAGAGACACTGAAGGTATTCATACAAATATCGTTGTGCTCTACTAGGCAACTAACAACATCAATTAACATAAAATTAATTCATAATTGAGATTGTTTATGTAAATAAAGCAATCCTTTTAAACATACACTAATAATGGTATATATAATTAATATAAGAACTTCCCCAAAAATGCACTTCCCTGTCATGCTACAGTTGGATGAGGATAGCACAGAAATAAGAGATTTTAAAACAATAACATGTAATAGAGAAGCAAGAGTTTCAATATAATTAAGAAGATCATCCAACCTTCAGAGGATGCCCTTATTTTCACTTCTTTGTGTCTAGGCTTCCTGCAGAAAGCATTCTTAGACAGGTCTTTGCTAAGATGTCTGACAAAGATAAAAACACTATATCTAAGAGGGATCCACCATAAAATAGATACCGTGACAGAAAGCAAACTATTAAAGAGCAACCCTAATCACTGATATCTGACAGATAAAAATGGCTTACAATAAGTCTAACCCAAATGACTTATATGTGATAGTTTCTCCATATTCCTTTGGACTACTCAAGTAAGCTATAAAGAGTCAATGTCCAATACTGAAAAATATATTCATACTAAATCTTGAAAGTGTTTGCTAAAATGAACAACATAGATTTCTGTTCTATAAGCTATATATAAATCTTCATCTAACATTTTCAAAATTATGCCACTGAAGTTTCAAATTATTTTCCAAGAACAGCAAAATCTAACAACCAAGTCACTAAGACAACATAGCACATTTTAAATTATATTTAAAATTTTAAGTTTGTCAAATCTGTTATTACCATCTCCTAGAATCTTTTCAGAACTGTTATAACATGCTTTTAAATGTTTTCTCAACAAGACAGGCCCACGGACAAAAGTAACTAAAATATCAAACCTAATAAAAAGGTGTTAAAATATTTTTTAAATGCAATATGATGAGTTGTTTTGATAGATTACTCCACACTGAAACTAATTCAAGTGTAATATACTTACTGCCAATTTTGCAATCAGAATCAGAAATAAGAAAGTATCAAAATAATGCCACTCCAATGTAAAAACACTACCTCAAACAAACTAGCTAACAATTGGGTTTGAGATCTCATGTGCATACAAATTATTTTCTGATGAAGTTGGTTTCAGGTTTTGCTTTAGATGCAAAAGGGGAAGACAATAGCAGTTATATGTGGTCAGAGACTGTAATCATCAATATAAACATTACAGTTATTCATGCATTTAAAAACTTGAAATTCAAATATAAAACCATTTATTTCTCAATAGTCTACATTAGCACTCTTTTGTTAAAATTACCCTGAATTTAAAAACTGAACAATTTCACAATGCAGAGGCCTATTTTTACAATTCTGATTTCATCAATGGATCATATTTTATGGCATCAGAGCAAAGCGACACAAGAAATACTCTTTATGATTTTGAGTCTGGCTTATTTAACAAGAAAATTCAAATTAAAAAACTTGTTTTAGACTGCATCTTATTAAAAATGAGTTAGGTTATTTTTTCCATACAAACGAAATACATATATTGGTAAACTGCCTCTGACTTGGAGATTTTAAAAATATAAAATGGAAATATATATATTGGTAATCTGCCTCTGACTTGGCAATTGGACACACACACACACACACACACACGGATATATCTCTTCCAAATTAATGAGTAAATGCCCCTGGATTACACTCCCAGTCAGTTGACAACCATTTCTTATATATCCTTTATATTCCATATGTTATAACATGCACTAGGGGATATGAGAAAGCGCATGATATAGTAATGCCTGTCTAGGAGCTGATGACCAAACAAAAGAAATGCACAAACAAACAAACAACTACATTTTAAAGAAAGACTATAGTAGAAGCCATTTATGTGGAAGGACAAAGGAAGGAATCCTAGAGAACATAATTAGTGAGCTGAGTTGTGAACTTTATTAGGAGTTTTCTAAGTAAAAGAAAGAAGAATAGATGGCAGGCCAAGAAAACAAAGTATGCAAAGTGACAGAACATGAAACAGCATGGTGGATGGAGAAACTGATGACAGGCTTGAGGTGCCACTGCAACATAAGGTACATGGCTGACAGTGACAACAGTGGAAGGGGTAAGGGGGCTGGCATCCTCTGCAGCTTTCCATGTCATGCTAAAGAGTAGAGCTACTTTTTGATTATTGATATGGGACAACAACAGATTTTTAGAAGGGGTGTGTCATGGAAAGATTTGTTTTAGAAAAATAATCTTTATCAGTGTAAACCAGAAAGATGGAAGTAGGGAAACAAGCAGGGGGATTGCTGCAGCTCAGCAGACAGGAAAACAGGACAGATTTGAAAAATGTAATAGGTAAGTTTTAGTGACCACCAAAACTATGGAAGTGAGAAAAGTCAAGTACGATTCACATTTTCTAGCTGACGATTAACCCAGTGAACAGATAGCGTTGCAATGAAAAAAGACAAGGGAGACAGGGGGTTAAGTAAAAAGTGTTCAACCCATAAAGCACTACTCAGTTACTAGCTATTATTAAATAGTATTACTTCCAGTGTAGCTTATGGTCATCGTTCTTGCATCCAATAAACCATAACCATCAAAACTGTTAAATTTTTTAAAATTGTGTATGGTTCTAGAGTTACCTCATAGCAGGCATCAGCATCTAGACATGTGTACACATTCTGCTGCATAGTTAACATGTCCTGGAGCAACGTTCTCCAATGGGACTCACTGACAGGAGGCTGCCTGGAAAAACACGTAAGAAAGAGAAGGAAAAGGGAAAGAACAATTAATAAAATCTCTTTCTTCAAATGGTCAAAAGGTAAAAAAACAAAAACTGGTACCACCACTCTACCTACCACATCAGCTCCCAAATGATCAAAACAAATATATCTTCATTAAATTTACAGGAAAACACTTGGATTAAAGATAGAGGGGAAAGTTGGGCAGCTGTGCATCAATGCTAGAGATGCTGTCAAAGCAGCCTGTCACAGCCTGAGCAGACACAAGGCTGGGATGAAACTGAATGGTAATTACGGTAAAGGTATGAAGCACTGCAAGATAAACCAGCTTTGATATAGCAGAAAAAGCACTTGATGACAGAGGTTCGTTTTAAATTCCATCTTCATCACTCTGCAATCCCCGTCAAGGAGTCTTCTTGACTTCAACTAAACATTCACACTCATAGGACAACTGCAGGCCGCCTTTGCCATCAGTCTGGAGGACAAGAACTGCAGCTCACCAGCAGGGCAGTATCAGCTGCTTCTTACAATGAGAGTACTGGCAGTGGTCCACAAAGCAGCTCACAGAGCACTCCAGGAGTTATCTTCTCAGTTGACCGCCTCAGTACAAGAAGCCAAAGCCTCAGAGAGTAGTTGTTGGTGTTGCCGTGTCTGGCTTAGGAAGAAGCTACATGTCCTAAAAGAGCCAACATCTCTTGCAACACACTCAGGCAAGCCCAAAGCATAAACCCCCTATCAGATATTTCTAGTTCATTTACAGTTCCTCCAGGCCAGAGGCAATTTACCAATCAGGGATCAGTTTTTTGTTTTTTTGTTTTGTTTTTTGGTGCTGTTTTTTTTTTTTTTTTGAGACAAAGTCTCGCTCTGTTACCAGGCTGGAGTGCAGTAGCGTGATCTCGGCTCACTGCAACCTTCACCTCCCGGGTTCAAGCAATTCTCCTGCCTCAGCCTCCCAAATAGCTGGGACAATAGGTGCGCGCCACCACACCCAGCTAATTTTTGTATTTTAGTAGAGACGGGGTTTCACCTTGTTTGCCAGGTTAGTCTTATCTCTTGACCTCATGATCTGCCTGCCTCAGGCATTACAACGTGCTGGGATTACAGGCATGAGCCACTATGCCCAGCCCTTCAGTTTTATCTAAGTAGTGAGGCCTATATAATCTAGTTGATTAAAAACCACTTTATATTGATTTCCAGAGTTACAAAGCTAGGAAATTAATCATCAGATTCTCCTACAAAGGGGAAAAGGTTTTGCTACCAATTTCACCCAGAGTCACAAATTAGTTGTGTGACTGTGAGCAAGTCATTTAATATTCCTGATTTTCACTTTCCTCACTGAAAGCCCACCTCAAAGACTGATAAGCAATAAATGAGATTAATTTTGACGACACACAGGCATTGAAGCAAGATGCTCCTAAATACAAAAATAAGCTACATTATCCATGGATTTGAATACATTTTCTAATGTCTCTGAACTTTAAATTCCCTTTTTGTATAGCATAAACATTAACTTATACTAAAATATATGAAAAGACCCCCCCCCCCATTTTTCTGGTACGTAATAAACATTCAACAAATGTGAATGAATGAATCTGAAGTTATAAACACATCTTGTTTCTTTTTTTCATTTTTTAGGTCACGTATATAATACTAACATTGTTTCTAGCAGGACAGACAATACGCTGTAATTCTCTCTGCCTCTCTCAAAAGTTCATCTTAAATATACATGAGTATGGAACCATCATTTATGTTTACTTTCTAGTCTTGACATTCTACATAATCATGAATATTATTCAAGAAGAGCAGGTTTTTGTTTGATGTTTGTCAAATACCAACTAGATGATGTTTCTTTTTTGTGCATCTTTTTATTTTTTATCTTTTATAATGCTTTTAAAAATCATCACTATTTCCAAACACTATTTATTACAAACAAACAGATAGGTTGGATGTGTTTAACAGTTATTGCTATAGAAAAAGTATATATTTGGGATCATTACACTGAAAAATACAGTCTTTAAAATTTTTTCTCCTAAAATTTTTAATAAGCACGTTTGATTTACCTATGCATTTTATATTTATTTTACAAAATGAATAATTACTCTTGTTCCATATGCAATTAGGTGTAAGAGAATACTTTTTTTCTTCCAGCACACAAATACACAAAACAAACTAATATATTTTCAAGTATTTCAGGAAAATTCATGAAATGTTCCATTTGTTTGACCTGGGTATGTGAACTCTTTAGACTTCAAAGATCTGGAGGGGCTCTTTCAGATTTCTTACAGGCAGAGAAGTAACAGAATGTTTGATGAAGTGAGTGTCCATCTTGCACCTGCTTCATAAACTCAGACCTAGGCGCTGCCTAGCTGAATTCAAGTTCTTACAGCCCAGCTGTTCTTCTGGAAGCCATCAACACTGGGGCATATGGTATTAATGTTTTCTCACACATGGCTAGCCCTAAGTAAAGGTTCTAATTAAAATAAACTATTATGCATTATTTACAATGGTCTTTTTAAGAATATATTCAGCAAATAAGAATCAAGACTAGAATTTGAAGAAACTAACCAAGAGGTTTGCAAATTAACAGACTGATCTCTGAACATAAATGCATTAGTTGCAGCTTTGCAATAGATATGGATTTTCCAGGGAAGAATAGTAGTATATTCAAGTTGGTAAAACACATTTGTGACAGATTTGCTAACATCTGTCACCCTTTAGAATATGTATAAGAATATTCTATGGGTACTTAGGGCCAAGCCATGAAGTATGCATAAAATAATGAAGATTCATTTCAAGTAGACTACTACGAAAACAGGCATCATATTCTCTTACATATTCACAGTAAACAGATTACCATGAGTAGAAATTAACTTCAGGGACTCTGTAAGTATTTAGGGAACTGACTCAGGGAGGGGACGGTGGTAGGTAATCTAGCAGCAATTGCAATGCTTTCCTGCTGAAAAACAGATTCTAGAGTAAAATTAGCATGATCTTGGAAATATTGGCCATCCATTTGTAGCTATAAAGAAACCTTAAGGCATTTAAATAGTCAAAACTACCTAAATTACCAGATAGAGCCAGTGATATGTAAGCTCCTAACCGAGGTGTATGGTGGCTGTAACATTTGCACTGCAGAAATTATCACCTAGAAGGGAACTTAAGGCATATGTGTTGACTATAGTATAGTTGCAGTATAACACAATATGGGTGCAAGAGACAGATAGTAAGAGAGGTAGATACAAAATGCTAGGGAATTTCTGGGAAGAAGAATTCAATTAAGCTTGGAGGAGCCAAGCTTAATCCTGAAAGATGTGATAGAGTAGCTCTTACAAAATAGTAAGAAATAGTATGTTACTGCTGGACTGTATTTTTTCTTTGATAGTTGGGTTAAGGTGAATCTCTAAGTCCTACAAATTAGGTAAAAAAAATCTTTAAAGTAAGTTCCTGAAAAGTTGCCTTTACTTAATTCTACTCCTTCATGATTAGTGTTTGAGGTAGTTTTTTTTTCCCCAAACTTCTTTACGTTTTTATGTAGTCTCCCTAGAGATCTGGAATTTAACCTTCCCATACACACACGGGGATTATTCTGAAATCCGTTACTCCAGTTCAGACTTCTCTGCTGATCTTCATGTCCACCTTCACAGCAGCATCTTCACCTACCTTTGAGCAAGCACCTCAAAGTCATAGATAACCTTTATTATTTGCTACATTCCTGCCCAAAAAACTAATACGATAGGTCGAAAAGTTGTTAGTTTCTTTATTGACCATTTGTATATCACCTAATTGAAATGTCTTTCAAGTCTGTTGCCAGTTTTTCTTTTCTTTTTTAAATATGTATTTGATGTATTATGTTGCCAATTTTTCTACAGAGTAATCTGTTAGTTCTCACATAGCCTCCACAGCCTGTATAGATAGTCTCTTCATATTAATTGAGTGTATCTCCCATTGGACCAGGGTGGTACTATATCTTTTTCTTTGTAAGCCAGACATCAAGCATAATACTGACACAAAGTATGTCAAATCCATAATAAGATATTCATTAAATAATGTAAACAAACAATTCATCAATAAATGCACAATTATAAAGTGAATATTAACTGTTCAGTTTTCCTATCTCTGTTAAAACTGGATCTAAATGAACTTCCAAAGGAGAATTTAGCAAAATTTCTAATTTCATTAGAATAGATGACCCCAGCAATACTGAGCCCCAGTGGTAAACCTGCTGATACAATCCAACCAGTATTGGGTCCCTTTCCTTCTGTCTCAGTTCCCCATTCTCCTGCTGATGCTTGGCTAGAATTACCTTCCAAACAACTAATGCTCTAATCTTAGCCTCGGAGAAGCCCACACTGACAGAAGAGTAATGCACTATTTCTTCATTTAAGTGCTGGCTACAGGGGTATGGTATGATCATTTTATAAAAATGCATGAAGCAGTACACAACTGTTTATAAAAAAGGAGTTGATAATACACCAGAATCCAAGTTATCTGATTCCCAAGTCAAGATAATTTCCGAATATGACTTCCTTACAAGAATTTAGAAGACATGAAACACACAGATTAAGGGAGAATTCCAAAGAGATTTTCACATTCAGAAAAGATTAAGCAAAAGGAAATGAATTAACTCTCCAGCCTAACACAAGTAAAATATGCAAAAATACTGGACATCAGACAGTGAAAGACAGTGATCTCTGAGAAATATAAACAAGTCTTTTTTTTCTATTTTTTTGAGACAAGGTCTCTCACTCTGTCACACACACTGGAGAGCAGTGACACAATCATGGCTCACTGCTGAGAGGACTTTTAAGACTATACCAGCTTACTGCTTTGAGAAAGATTCCAGGCCACAGTACAAGGACAAATCTAAGCAGAGAGTTGTGGACTCCCTGCATTGAGAAGACGGAACTGCAATTCCAGAGAAACCAAAGCAGATAGAGTACACACAAAACAAAGTACCAGGAAAGATACAGCAGAACTGAAAGAAATTCCCAAGATCTGCAAAGAATCCCCACAAATATTCAGCCAAATAGAAGCCATAAATGCCTGAGGTAAAACTGCCTGAGGCTAGGAAAAGAAAACGAGTCAAGTTCACACAGGCTGGAAAACCACAAGACACACAGGCATTGAAGAGAGTCCTAGCTCAGTTATGGGGAATAATTAGTCCTAGAAGGAGCTCTTCCTGCATCTCAACTGCAAGAAGCAAAAGGCTTAAACTGTTTGCAAGTAAATTAACCCTGTCCCAGAAAAAAGCGTAAGAATATTTATGCTGAGTGAAATAAACAAGACATAGGAAGAAAAATATTACATGTTTTCACTTATATGTGGAATTTTACAAAATCAAATATAAAGAAATAGACACCAAATAAAAGGCTGTGGAGGCGACAAACAAGGAGATGCAGGTCAGAGGATACAAAGTGGCAGATATGTAAATGAATAAGCCTAGAGGTCTAGTGTATACCATGAAGACTATAGGTAGTAAAGTTGTCCTGTATATGGGATCATGCTAAAGGAGTAGATTTTAGTTGTTCCTGCCATAGAAACAAACAAAATAAAATAGATAACTATGTGAGATGATGAATGTTAATCTCTTTCACTATAGTAACCTTTTTACTATTTATATATATCCCATAACATCATGTTGTATACCTTAAATATACAAAACTTATTTTTTAAAAAGAAAATTTATAAAAATACAAAAATATGATAACATACAAGTAAGAAAAATTCATAATGTCTAGTATCCAATAAAATTACTTTGCACTGAAAATTAGCCAGGCGTGGTGGCACATGCCTGTAATCCCAGCTACACAGGAGGCTGAAGAAGGAGAAGCTCTTGAACCCGGGAGGTGGAGGTTGCAGTGAGCCAACTGCACTCCAGCCTGGGCCACAGAGTAAGACTTTGTCTCAAAATATATATATATTTTTTTTTGCATGGAAAGAAATGAAAAATATGATAGATAATGAAAAAAACATTATTCAAAACCTACCCAGATATTAGATGCGTAACATAGATGTTAAAAAGATGTTTTTAAAAAGAAGATAAATATTAGAAAAAGCAAACATTTGCACTAGAAAAGCAGACAAGAATGTTTTAAAATGTATTACAACTGTTTAATATATGTTCAAAAAGCTAATGGACATGAAAGTTTAATAAAAACCAAAACTGAACTCTTAGAGGTTAAAAAAAGTCTCAATGAAAAATATAATGAACATACAAATTGATGAGACATTAGAGAAAAAAAGATTTAGTGAACTCTAAAGAATAATGATAGAAATTATCCAAAATGAAACACAAATACGTAAGAATATTAAAACAAATAAACAACACAGTATTGATGAGCTGTGAGGCAACTTGAAAGGTCCTAACAGATGTATAATTGGAGTCCTGAAAGGGGAAAAAGCAGAAGAGAAAGGAGAAGCAATATGCAAAAATTTTCCAAGTTGGATGGAAATTATAAACCCAAAGACCCAAGATCCAAGATGCTTGATGAAGAAAACTATACCATAATACATCAATTTGAAACTGACATCAAAAAGAGAAATTCACAAAAGCAATTTAAAAAATGAGAAACACATCAAAAATAGATTAAGTCTGATAGCAGATTTCTCAATTAAAAAAATTCATGCTAGGAGATGGTGGAGCAATTTCAGTACTGTAGTATACTTAAAAAAAAAAATGTCAAATTTAAATCGTATACCAAGTGAATACATCCTTCAGAGAAAAATGTGAAATAAAGATTTTTTTAAACGAACAAAGATATAAACAAATGAATCACTGGCATACTAGCACTCCAAAAAATAACAACAACAACAACATTAAAAGAAGTCTTCCAGACAAAAGGAAAATAACACCAGATGGAAACACAGGTCTACATACAAGAATGGTAAGTGCCAGAAATGGTAATTACATGGATAAATATACAACACATTTTTCATATTATTTTCATCACTTTAAAAAACAGTTTACTGCTTGCAAATAATAATACAATGCAAAATGGAGTTTTTAACATACATAAAAGTAAATAATATGACAACAAAGAAAAAAAGCTTGGAGAGGAGAAAGTATGTTGCTACCAACTCATATGGTAGATTAAAAGAAACAATATCAAAGGAATATCTACCTTCCTGTGATAGTGTAATCTTTTATATAGGAAATCCCATGAAGTCTGCAAAGAAAAATTATTAGAGCTAATATGTAAGTCCAGAAAAGTTAGATAACATAAGATCAATAAATCAAAGAATCAACTGTATTTCTACACACTAGGAAGAAACAATCTGAAAATGAAATTAAGAAAGCAATTACTTTTACAATAGGACCAAGAAAGAATAAAATACTTAAGAATAATTTAACAAAATAAATGTAAGAATAGTACACTGAAAACTACAAGACCATCAAAAGAAATTAAAGATGAACTAAGTAAGGGAAAGACATCCTATGTTCATGGATTGGAAGACTTAATATTGATTTAGGATAGCAACACTCTCGAAACTGACCTATAGATTTGATGCAATCCTTATCAAAATTCCAAATGAAGAAATTGATAAGCTTATTCTGAACTTCATATGGAACTGCAAAGGCTCTCTAATAAACAAAACAACTTTGGGAAGGAAAAAAAAAAACAAAGCTGGGAGACTAATGTTACCTAATTTCAAGATTTAATCGAAATTTGCAACAATTAACACAGTATGGTACTGGAAGAAAGATAAACACATCAATAGGACAAAATAATCAAAAAATGGGCCCCCATATATACAGAAAACAGGTTTCAACAAAATTGCAAAGGTAATTCAGTAGAGAAAGGATAGCTTTTTCAACAAATGGTGTGGAATAATTAGCTATAAAAAGTTTTTTGATCCATACTTTGAACAATGAGCAAAAATGGACTCTCAAAATGAGTCATGGATCTAAACGTAAAATGTAAAACCAAAAATTTTGCTAAAACAGGTAGGAGAAAAACATTGTGGTAAAGCAATAAAAAGTACAAACTGAATAAAAGGCAAATTTTTAAAAAGCACATTCTTCAAAACACAAAGGTAAGATAATGAAAAGATAGGGCACAAATGGGAGAAAATCTTCACAAAGTATATATCTAATAAAAGGACTGATATCTAGAATATATAAGAAAACTCCCAAAACTCAATAAAAAGAAAAATAACTCAGTTTTAAAGACAGGCAAAGAAAATATACAGACAGCAAATAAGCATATAAAAGGATGCTCCACATTAATCACTCATTAGAGAAATGTAATTCAAACCAAAATTAGATACCACTACATACCTATTCAACTAGCTCAACTTTCAAAGACTGACCACACCAAGTGTTGCTGAGGCCATAGGACAGCAATGCAGGATGTAGCAACAGTAACTCTCCTACAAGACCGGTAGGAAAGTAAAAGGGTACATATCCTTTAAAAAATAGTTTGGCAGTTTTTTAAAAGTTAACTATGCACCTACCAAACGGTCCTGCCATTTCATCCTTAGCTGTTTGTCCAAGAGAAATGAAAGTATATGTCCACACAAATACTTGCATATGAAAAGAAACAGCAACTGTATTTGTAAAAGCCAAAACTCAAAATAATCCAAATGTCCATCAACAGAGAAGTAGTAAACAGGATGTGAAAAATCCATACAATGAAAATACTGTTCAGCAAATAAAAAGAAGGAAACTACTGATCCATGACGCAACATGGATGAATCACAAAACAATTATACTGAGTGAAAGAAGCCAAACAAACATACAAGCAAAAAAGTTACACTGTGTGATTTACTTACAGAAAATTCTAGGAAATGCAAAGAAATATACAGAGGTAAAAAAAATAGATTAGTGGTACTCCTGATGAGGAGAAGGGAACATGATGAGGAAAAGCTATAAAGGAGCAATTAAAAATCTTTCAGGGGTATTGGATATGTTTATTATCTTAATCATAAGGATGTATAAATATATATCAAAACGTATTAAATTATACTTACACTTTATGTGCAGTTTATTATTAGTTACAACACAGTGAGGTTGTCAGAAAAAGAGAAATACTTTTAAAAATATTTAAAATTAACTGACCCAGTATCAATTAATTTTATTACTCACTTCCGGCCGGTGTGCCTAGTCAATCTAACCATCAGCTTGCGTGCCTCTTCTGAGCTAGACTGAGTGTTTTTAACAAATGAAATTGGTTTCTCAAGTCCATGTTTTTCCAAAAGCTCTGAAACACTGTAAGTGAAAAAAGAATTATTTAATGTCTTGCTAGCAAACAAAAAGAGTCTCTAAGAATCTAAGGCATATCGGAAGCATTTCAGTGTTTAGTATTAAAAAGAATTATCACATAGTATAATGCAATTTTACATATAACTGATTCTCAGCAAAAAAAGAAAAAATCTAATAATTATATCACAAATCTTACCTTTCTCATTGACTTTTATTAGAATGTAGTTGGGCTAAGTGGCATACTAAAAGAAAGCACGACATATCTTTATCTCAAAAGCTTTCTGCCACTTCCCTGTAAGCTAAAAGCATCATGTCAGTAAAATAAGCCAAATCTATACTTTCAGTACAGTTTTAACTCTTATTAATGCTATTGAGTATTTTGTTATAGGCAAGACTACTAGAAAAGCAAGAAACTATGAATGTTAGAGTTAGAAGACTCTGGAAATCATCAAGCTCATTCTCTGTCAATAATCCATTGTATAAGTATACAAGATATGTCAAAAATTCTGTCTCATATGAATCTTCTTGAGATATCCCATTCCATAATCAACAACATCGTATATCCGACTCACAAAATCTCACATTTATCAACTGACTACTACAGGACTGCACAGAGTCACTGGATAAAACTCAGTAACTCTCCAGAAAATAAGTTTCATGGGTAAAGTTGCCTGGTATTATGTATATGAAAACATTTATCAAGTATCTGGGGCTATGCGGTGGAACAGGAATAAAAAGCTCTTATTTGGAAAGCACAGTAAATTAAGCTGGATAGTGAAACCTAAACATTATCCAGAAACCTGCAGGGTGTTAACTGTTTCCTTGAGGTATTGATGACAGGACCACCTGTGGTTACGACCACAAACATGTGACGAAATAAATTAGTTTATTTCACTGCTTCTCTTTGAGCTATCTCTTCTCAATTGTATTAGCAAAATAAAGGTAACTATGCAGATTTGTAGAAAATGAATTTACATTGATTCAACCCACTAAGCCTTAGTCAAACTAAACTGAACGTGTTAGGAAGGTAGCAGGGAGGAGAGGCACAAGCTAAAAAAACGGGAAAAGCTGATTTAGCAAATAAACATTTTTCAGGAAATACAACTGTATAACTTTCAGGAAACAGGATAACAGGAATCAAGCTAAGTAATAATAAACACAGGTCTTCAGGAAACTGAACCGTTAATTCTTCATTAAACTCAGATATTATGATACACGAAAACATTCTGTTCCCTTAAAGGCAACTTGAAATATTTTTACAATAAAGTCCATTAATTTGAATAAGATTTCTAATCAGTAGACTCCAAATTATCATACATACTACTATTAGTAATGTCATTAGCTATAATTTCTACAACTATATATTGGAAGACCAAAGTTTATTATTCTTAAAATTTTACTTTTAATACAATACTTAAATGTGCGTATTTATATAAACATAAAAATAAGTATTAGTAAACAATATCAGACATTCCTACAGGGAAAATTAAGACTATTTCCATCTCCAGGAGAGATAGTTTAACATTATATTATGACAGTAAAGAATATTACTACAGTGTTACATGAGAGTTCTAATGCAGTATGACATAGTACAGTCAATTGAATGTATTATGCACTAAAAAGGAAAGTTAGTGTAATAAACATTGTTTGCTGATCAAGATGCAATAATTGCTGGAGGAACTAACATTTCTTATGTGCTTACTATGTATTAGGCACTTTAAATGCTTAATCTAATATTGATTTCACAATTTCATGAATTAGATACCACAGATGAGAAAACCCTAGGCCCAAAGATCATACAGCTAGTAAGTGGCAACCGCAACATCTAAATTAGAACATGGGTTTTCAAAGACCATGTTATTATTCTATCACTCCGCTTTAACAGGGGTGCAGTGTATTTGTTGTTGGGAAAATTAACTCCCAAGACATCAAACAAATATGAGGTCAAAACAGAAACAATGACTCACAGGCAGACTTATGACATTTCTTGGACGAATCGCCTTAATAAGCATGGAGCCAAAAAACTGTCATTTTTCTCACCTGAGAATTTGTTCCAGTTGGTCTACCATGTCATGAAGAGTTGTGGTCACCTCTGTCTTATCACTAATAAATTAAAAGAAAAAAAAAAGGCCTTTAGTATTCACCTTTTAAATAAAATACAAAAGTTAATAAAGTGAAAAAAAAGGAAAGATGCTTCTTTTATATGTGATGTATAACAATATTACCTGATTATTAATGATTCCAGAGAATAAGATAAGAAATGCTAGAGTAGAGCAACATTCTTTGCTACAGATTAGTCAGATATAAGCAACTGTTTTCCAGGCTACTTTTGGTTCAGTTGTGCTTAGAGGTAAAAAAAAAATATTATAAATCAATTGTTTATTTAAGAAGAGGTAAAGGGTAAAATCACTACTTACTACTGTTCTTCAAAACCAATAAAATAGATTAAGAAGAGACATAGCCATGTCGGCTTTCTCCTAGGCCTGTCTCCTTAGGAACCCCTCCACTCCAGGAAGTTTCCATTAGGATTCTCTATACTCAGGAAAATTCTTCTCATAGCCATCCCCTGTGCATTAATGGAAGGGAATCCCATCCATTTCAATGTTAAGGAATCAGTGAGAAGTATATCCATCACACAGATAATCCCTTGTAGGGGGTGAAGATAAAAAGCAAATGCTTTCTGAGGAAGCCAGTAAACAGGGACTAGGAGAAACACTATCATGAAAAAGATCACAAACTAATAAAAATGTGGCTGACAGGGAAGATTAAGTATGGCACAACACACGTGCAAGTGAATACAGGGAGATGGCGAAAAAACCTTGTAACTGCTATAAAAGCCCTCTTTCAGCCTATACAGCTCTGTGTCCCAAATACTCTCAACTGAGAAACACTGCCCCTGCCACTCGCAGGTACCTTCATTGCAATGCTCCACCTGAATTCCAGCAAGATCTTAGGCTTTTATTTACTTTTTAAAGCACAATTTCCATTTTATTTTTCTCCAGAGAATAGTCTGTCTTCATTCTTTAAGGACTCAGCTCCTTACATGGGCTTTGGTGGAGGTCATGGAGCAGCCCCTGCAGTCAAAATCGGTGTGGGGGTGTTCGGTCCTTGCAGGCCTCACGAGATTGATTCCTGACTACTTTGCTGTCAATTGCACAACCCACACAGTAACATTGCTTCACATACAGCTTGGGAAGCACATAGGCATCAAAGACGCTCACTTCAAAAAGGTCCGTGACTGCTGCAGCCTCTACTATGTTTCAAATGACGACTTTCTTAATGCCCTTGTCCTTGGGCATCCATCAGGCACAGTTGGTGCAGCAAACAGGCTGCATGCGGCTGCAGTCCTTTTTGGCACAACCACTGTTCTTTCTTTTCTTTGTCATCTTGGAGGCCCAGACCAGAGAGAGCAATGGTTTTATTAAGAAGAAGCCTAAACAAAAATCTTTGCCTGGTCTTGGAAAACTAAAAATGTCCTACTTTGGACAAAAAACCCTCATTATTTTCAAAACTAACAATCTGCCTGGTCTAAATCTATTTGACAATTATCAGTGCAAATTTACAAAGATAACACTATCTGTTTGAACTAAGTTTTAGGCTTTGAACAAGAGTGATGAGTAGGGTATGGTCTACTTAAGTGGGGTATGGTCTACTTAAAGTCCTTCAGAAGATTATTCATCAGAGCAAACTTCCCTTGCCATACTCATATACCCGTGTGTGTGTGTGTGTGTGTGTGTGTGTGTGTGTGTGTGTGTGTGTGGTTTTTTTTCAGAGACAGAGTGTTGCTCTGCCACCTAGGCTGGAATGCAGTGGCATGATCATGGCTCACTGAAACTTCTGGCTCTTGGGTTCAAGCCATCCTCCTGGCTCAGCCTTCTGAGTAGCTGGGACTAAAGTTGCACGCCACCACACCCAGCTAATTTTTAAATGTTTTTGTAGAGATGAAGTCTCCCTGTGTTGCCCAGGCTGGTCCCAAACTCCTGGACTCAACTTATTCTCCTGATTGTCCTGCCTTGGCCTTCCAAAGTGCTGGGATTACAGGCATGAGCAACTGTACCTGACCTTAATCAGCAATATTTTTTTAATTATCATTTTACAGCTCTATTATAATCATTTATCATATATATTAGAGAATACAATGTTCTTCCTTTGTGAAATGACATTCACAAACATAACGAGTAAGGATTTTTTTAGCCAGATTAAATAATCTGCCTAGGTAAGATCCACAAAAATTTAATTAGATTAAATGAGTGATTGCTCATTGCTTAAAACAGAAAATGGATGTATTTACAGTTTACCATTTGATAAATAACAACTATTTTAACCACAAAAAATAAACGAATAATCACTGAGAGAATATAAATTGACAAACTTGGCATGAAGAACAAACAGAACAACACAAAATATTTTGAGCCCTATATTTTAATACAAGGCAAATTTATAACTACAAGTTACTTAGAAAATGAGAAATCATTAAGAAATAAATGGAAGAAAATATCAAGCCATTTATTGTGTTTACATAAAAAATGTTAGCTTAGGGATCATTAATCTGAGGCTAAGAAAAGCTTTTGGCCATGTATATAGGAGAGGCATTTCTTAGCTCATTCACTATTCAAAAACAAATATGTTAATCTGATAACTGTAACATCTACATAAAAATATGTTCTGTTAATATCATCATCCTATTGATACCATGACAATCTCCTCAAAGTAAGCAAATTACTATTTAATAATTAATAGATAAGCTCTAATTGATATTTATGCTAATTGAGCTTACTGGAAAACAAAGCCTAATATATTTATTTTTAAGAGTTAAGCACATGAGTTGGAAGCCAATAATTTTGCCTGGTAGACTTAGGAACAAGAAATGAGATATGAAGCTGACAAAGGAACCATAAGGTTCCCACTGAGCTCAGTAAGGAGGAAAATTCTTGCCACTCCAGCTCTCAGAGGAAGGAGGGGCTTCTCCATTTCCTGTCACCATCCAGGGAGGAGCAATCTGACTACTGCCACACTGATAGTCTTTGGGTTGAAGTTCTTTAATGATGGAAAACAACATTTTGCTATAAAAATCTATGAATACTATCTAGTTTACCTTCCTTTGGCTGCCTACTGAAGACCTACAGTTCTCAGAGACACACTTGCTATACTCTGCTGTTCTCTACTAGGGATGTGAGGTAGCCTGTGTTCACATGGATACAGGTCTGAATAATAAACAGATGCTGACTCCAGTCTGATTTACCTTTCCCTACATGAAGAAGGAATGAAGAAAAGAGAAGAGTACAAATAAACTTACCAAGGAAAAAATGTAAGAACATTGCCCAAAGGTCTGAAGGTTATGAATTTCCAGAAAGAATTAGACCAATCAATAAACCATTTATATACGAAACAAAAACACCTCCTCATGCTATTTCCAAAAACGGAAAAGGAAGATACTGAAATTTTCTTTAAAAAAAAATCCATATTGGGGAGGATCCAAGATGGCCATTTAGGAACAGCTCAGGATTGCAGCTCCCAGTGAAAGCGCAGAGGGTAAGTGGACGCCGCGTTTTTATTGCCCACAGACTAGGAAATTCCCAGGCGGAGGAGCTCCACGGTCGCCAGCGCAGCTGTTTCAGCCAGCACGGCTGTGCCGGCCGGCGCCGTTGCTTTGCCCCGCGTGGCTGCTTTGTCAGCGCCCCGGAGCAACGGTTCTCCGGTTCTCCATACAAAATACACCAGTCCGGGTCCCCTTTTGGCTGGCAATTGGAGCCACGGGAAGTCGCCCATTCCTCTGTTTAAAAAGGGGACTGAGCAGAGAACCAGGACAGTAGATTCCAGGGCAAAAAAAAAAAAAAAAAAAAACCGCCACAAACCTCAGTGCCGCTGTTTAAGTCCGTGCAGCGAGTGGCCGCAGGGGAAAACAAACAGACCCCAGCGCCTCTTCAACAGGCGACTGGAACACCAACTTAAAAAACGAGCCAAGGCAGGGAGCCAGGCAATCAGGCTTGGCTGGTCCCACCCCCACAAAAGAACAGCAACCAGAAACTCTGGATTGAGACTTTCACAACAAGCTCAGCTAAACCCGGGACGGTCCAGCTCTGTGAATGAGGGGTGTCCGCAATTACTGAGGCAGCCCGCCATTGCCAAGGCAACCCGCCATGGCTGAGGCAGCCCACCGTTGCCAAGGCAACCCACCATTGCTGAGGCAGCCTGCCATTGCCAAGGTACAACCCGCCACAGCAGAGAGACTCCGCCTCAACAGAGGCGGGCCACCATCGCCAAAGCAGTTCTAACTATACCCATATAAACAGGATTGCAAGGAAGTTAACTCGGCAGCAGGGCGGAGCCCACAGCAGCTCAGCAAAGCCTCTATAGGCCGACAGTGACTAGGCTGTCTCCTTGCTGGGCAGGGCAGGTGTGAAGGAAAAAAAAAAAAAGAAGGCAGCAGCATAACGGAAACTCATAAATAAAGCCCTAAATCCCTGGGACAGAGCACCTGGGAACAAAAAGCAGTTTATGAGTTCTGCTGCAGCAGACCTAAACGTACCTGCCCAGCAGTTCTGAATGAACAACAGAGCTCACAGCTCACCATTTGAGCTCCTATAAAGAAGAGACCGTCTCCTCAAGCAGCTCCCTGACCCCTATATATCCAAAGAGACCCCTCTAAAGGAGAGATCAGATTGACACTAGGTGGGTATCCTTCTGGGACAAAGATAGCAGAAGAAGAAAACTGGTAAAAACCCTTACTGTTCAGCAGCTGCTGCAGGTGAACCCCAGGCAAGCAGGGCCTGGAGTGAACCTCAGCAGACCTAGAGCAGAGGGGCCAGACTGTCAGAAAGAAAACCAAGAAACAGAAATAACCTCATCATCAACAAACAGAACGTCAATCTGAAAGATTTGAGACCCAATCTGAAAGCCAGCAACTACAAAGTCGAAAGGTAGATAAATCCTTAAAGATGGGAAGAAACCAGCGCAAAAAGGATGAAAACGCCCGAAACCAGAACACCTCTCCTCCTACAAGGGATCACAACTCCTCACCAGCAAAGGAACAAGGTTGGAGGGAGAACGAGTGTGATGAAATGACAGAATTAGACTTCAGAAGGTGCGTAGTAAGAAACTTC